TTTATGCGCAACTATTGTAAACCGATCTGATGATGTGCCCTGTCGCCACCGTAGGATCAAGCCAGGTCTAATAAGGTTTATGATTTATGCCTGTCATCTATGTATTATAAAATGATATCCTAATTTATCATAATTAAATTATTAATCATGGGTATAATAAGAATTCATGTGCATTAAATGAGCTTTTGAACTGAAAATTTATTAGCGTTTGATAGATGTAAACATCCTGCGAAGTCAGGTGCATTATGGGAATTGTGCAGATTCGCACTTACTACTGTTCGACCTATTAATAATATCTGAGTCACAAAACATCATTGGAAAGGTCAAATCTAATTTTTATCGACGCATAAATATGAATTTCAATAACCTGATGTGACATAGATTTTTAGAAGTGATCTTTCACATTAAAACATGAGATCATAACAAAGTTCATGGATATTTTTCTCAACAATGAATAAAATTAAACTGTTTGTTTAGTCACAGATATATTTGATTTTTCTTTGATTTAAGATATAATACTATGCGAATGCGTAGTCTGTGTATGGCAAAGGCGAGCTCGTGTAAAACCGGAAACCATCGGCATCGTCTTTTAGTAGGGTGATGTATTACATTTTAGTGACACAGTACTGTAAATTTGTTTTTCGTTGTGGTTTCGCGTACTAAAACATTTTATTCTTATTATGTTAATCATATCAGATATTTCCATGCACGTTACATGATAAAATAACATTCAAACAGACACAATGCATGGGTATGCATAACTACATGTTATTTAAAATGCAATTATGATGTATAAACAAATGTTCTTATGGGTGTTGTCGAAATAAGGACACACAAAATATTTTAGAAAAATTCTTGAAACACAGACACAATTTATGAACTTAACTTAATTCAGTTAAACATCTGGAACAAGCGACTCTATATGACGTAACAAACGATCTATTAATAGATTAATATGTCTCTAACGACGCACGGATTTTGGTGCAGCATCACGTGACGAATTGTTTGAATTACTTTATTTCAAGACGGAAATTTAACTTAACTGTTCCAATAACATACAAATTGCATAATGGAAAGAAAGACAGTTAAATGTTTCGCTGATAGCAATTTTATTTGAACAATATATATTGTCCTATCAAAAAGGCTGTTTCTGCTAGTATCTGTGAACCATGACCATCATAAAAGAGTCAAGTGATTTGATTAGCGGATGAAAAGTATCCTTGAAAGAGCCAATAACTTGAGGCTTTTGTGCTCCTAATGACAGAAAACTAAGATAAACAAGAAAAGGAGTTTGTGATGGGCATATTGTCGACCTTGACCTTGATTTCCGTAAGCCCTCGGTAACCTATCAAAACATCATTTATGCGTATGCACGACTTCAAATATGCAATGCTGGTCGTCTGCTAGTCGTATAGGTCTTCATCTTTTTAAACAATAAAACAACTTTGATAGGAGCAGACGATACTTTATTTTGATTTATAAATAACAGTTCCGCAGTAAATGGGTCGCGTTATCTGGTGATATTAGGAAATCTTCTTTACTTACACGTCCCTCTCTGACTTCTTAATCCCCTGTCAGGTTGAACATTTGGTCAAGATTCATTTAAGGGTTTATTCAAGGATTTTTTATGAATGAAGTCTCTCGAAAAGGCTATCAGTAAACAAAAGTCAAAAACGAAAAGCATGAATAGCTTCGTTGTCAAACATATTTTTGCGTTTAAACAGAAGCTCCGTTTGGAATTTAAATAATTTGAAAACGCGATGTTCAATACGAACTCAAAGTCATACTCCTGTTAAAGCTGTATGCCTCCAGATGAGTAAACTATTACAAGAAAATCAAACTTGAGAAAAAATGTACTTACATTTAAATAAAAGAAAAGAGATTCAAGATCAAAGTAATAATTTGCATGTTATGTGCGATTTATGACTTATTTTAGAGTATTTATCACAATATTGCTACTGCGTGACTAACGCAGTAAGGGCTATTTTTGCATATTTCGCCCTCATTTTGGTAAATTACGTTAATTGTAAGTGTCGTTTGCAGTGTGTAAATGACTTCCTTTATTCCTCTCACCTTTTTTTTTTTAGATTTTAGATACATTTTCAAAAATTTCATGAAAATTAGAATGAATCTAGAATGTTGATGAGCAATAACAGTACCGTTGCTAATACCACTTTTATTTTATAATAATTTGAATTAACTTTGATATATAGATATATGCTTTTAACTCAACGATCGATGATTAGGATCATTATCATTTTTCAATGTATTATTGTGAAAGAGATCAATTACTCTCGCTCTATCTATCCACTTGAAATAACTACCAGTTATGTGGGTAGGTTCACGAAATCCTATACGAACTATTAGAGGAATTACAAAAACGATAAACGTTTTACAAATTTTGCGCCAGGTATCAATAAATACCACCAACAGATTGTATCGCGACATTTATATCTCTCTTATCAATTAAACATTTTCCACTTAAATAAATATCCTGTAAAAATGTATGAAAATAAAGATTCACAACTTGGGCGTTTCGTTTCTATCAAACTCTCACAAAAATGCTCTCGGTTAGACGAGTACTGTTAAGAACGAATTCGTGTTGTATTAAAATCGCAAGTATTAAAGTTTAATGATATAAAAGACTAGTAAATGATATTTTCGATTTCAAAAGTAACATTTTTACGTGTTTGTGTGTATGTGTGGGGGGGGGGGGGCAGTGGTGAGGCAATCGTATCATGTGTTTTATTCAGTGAAAGACTGTGGCTCTTTCACCTACAGCCACATTTTATGTGAATGAAAGAACGATAACTCTTACTGTCCCCAAGTTCACTTCTAATGGACACTGTGTAGAAATCTTGAAGCAGATAGCATTTTATTGTTGAAAAGTTTCATCCCAAAAATGGACCAGCTACAAGTGTTTATTCGCTTTGCCCTGGCGTCGTTATTTCAATGAATACAAAAATTTGAATTGTCATGAAAAGAGCAAAAGAAACCTGCAGTTATAGATATGAATCTATATTCATTCCAAGTTTAATAAGAATTTATGTATCTGTTTCGGAAATCTACAAACTTGCAACTACTGTTTCTTCATACAGGTAAACATGCACACATAGATATAGATATAATACAGAAAATAAATTTACGGTATTACATAAGCATGCTATTAAAATATTCTTATCTCAGCCTGAATACGTATCATCTGGTCTCTAATTAATTTCCAGAATTGTGTCTTACTAACGCTCCGATATTTGTGATTTTTATCATACCGTTAAAAGACTGGAGATCTTCAAACGACCACAAAAATATAATTATTATATCAAAGAAATGGAGATAAAAAGATGATCAAACGTTATACAGGCGATTATACATTTATATTTTACTGTCATTATAGAGTGATTTCGCATCTTTTTATAAGCAATTACAAAAGTTCATTCCAGGACAGTGGTTATGAAGTCAAAATTAAGAAAGAAAAAAGCCCTGCGGATCAACGTGGTTCACACAAGAGACACTTTAACGTGACAAGACGACCATAAATACAGATTTAAGAGGTAATTTTTAAGATTTAGAGACTTTGAAAAAAAAATGGAAGAAAAAAATCAATGTCCTATCGACAACACGACGCGTTTTTTTATTTTATCTTATGTTTAAGGGTAGATTTTCCGTAATTGGCGGTTTCTACTTCACTCAAAATGATTAAATCTAGTTATCACCAATAGCGGATATTTATTTGTTTGTCAAGATATTGGATTAAATTGTTTACATCATTTTACAGGATCTAGATCTTATTTTTATACATTATTTCCTATTTAATCGCTTAAGTTATGGTAACTTTTATCCCTTCCTGTTTGCATAAGCACCGCTTCTTCAGAAGTTAGTTTACTCTGAGTCTCGGTGTCCCAGTATGCGTTCCCTTATCTCAGATTACAGAGGTAGGTATGATAATTATGCAACCTAGTGCAACCAATGTCATTAACGACACAAAAATCTCCCAACTTTTGTTTTCTTTCGCCTTCAATGTTGACATTAGACGGTTAATATTAGCGCAAGTCGCGTCAGAAGTAAGAAAAAATGTTAATTAACAACGTGTAATTCATTATCGTTAAACAATATTATCAGATAATTACATAAATGATCAATAAATGTGTTAGTTCATTTATTTATTTTGAAGTTTGAAAAAAACACCCCTGCATTTTTTAACTAGTAAAGATCGAGATTTTACGTGGTTGGGAAATTTTTTAAATCTAATTAGCTACTTCTACGTCGAAGATAGATATAATCAGTGAACAAATAGTGAAATCGTGTGAAAAAAGTACGTATCTTGTAAAATAAAAAAAAGGCATTTAATAGAGAAATCGTATTTAAACTTGCATCGATGACATTCAAAATCAAGTACCGGTAACGTTTCAAACAGGTGCGATTATAGTTGCATTTTAATACTTGGTCCGTTTTTGTTGAATTCTTTCTTCTCTCTTTATTTTTTATAATAGGTTTGATGCCCGAGCGTAGAAAGTGTGATATATGTGATAATGTCAAGGTCGGATTTAATGGTATTTTGAACCAGAACAAAAATCATATATCGCTAATAAGACTTTGTTTGTTATATATAATCGAACCCTAAACCTACTGAAACCAAATTATCAGTATTTGCCACCAGTATAGAGTCAGGCCAGCCTGCACATTTAGCTGACAATATTTCATTTTGATATCCCAAAAATGAATATGGACAGTTCCATTAATATGGACAGTTCCATTAATGAGCTAGACAAATCCAAAGAAATTCAGTAGGTTAATGATGTGGGTTAAAATTAAATTATAAAAGTGTAAAAGGCGGTGTTTTTATATAAAATAGGCGAACTTTTATATAATACAATATACCTCTCTAAACAATATACCTCTCTTAAGCGAGAAACTTTCTTAAGCGTCAAACGTTAATTTCTTTATAACCATCACTAAGTCCTGTAATGTTTAATTAGATATCATCTTGTTTAACAACTTACCACTATAGGTCTCGCCGGGTACATAAATTCCACTGATAGGTAATCCTTCCACAAGAATACTGTACCCGTTATCCCCGACGGTACGGTTAGCCGTCGTGTGATTTGGTAACCGTTTACATATTCTAGGTTTTTGAACACTCAAAACTTCCCCGAAAACTCCCAAAAGTAACAGAATCACCACTAAAGAAGTCATTTTGTTAGTTTCAGTGGTCCGCACGTTTTTTTTGTGTTGTTTTTTCCCCCGATTAAAAATTAACTTAGTTTATTTAAATCCACTTGTTAAGGAGGTGTGAATATTCAAAACTTAACGAAAACAATCACATATTTCTCATTCCCTCACATTCTGCCCTTAGATATAAATCCACTTTCTCTTTTCTCTCTGTGTTTTATTTTAAGTAGAATGTAGCGAAGATGCACACTATATAATCTTATAAACATATGAAAATAAACCACGGTCGTATAACATCTCAATGTCACGCTATACAAGAAAATTATCTCTACTTGCAAAATACAACTGTTGTACTGCTTTACGCAACTGTTTTCATTGGCTACTCAATGTCTTCAAACTCCGCCCATTTACCTGTCGTATAATTGTATTATTTTTTTTTTACAAAGAATAAAAAATACTTTAATTTACGCTATGGTATATATACGTATATACTATACGAGTAACAGTGTATTTATTTGTTTATTTGTATATATTAGACACGAAATTTTCGATAATAACTTTAAACGGATACCTGATCCATTTTTTAACAATTAATTTATTTAAAAAACGAGCGTCCTTGTAAAAAAATGTGAAATCGTTTGAACAAATTATTGGATTTAGATTCAAATTTATTTAATCATGTTGGCTGAAGATTTTTACAAAGTTACAAACTATTAAAAATACGGTGAATTTCGGCCCAGTTCAAATATTTTAGTCCAATAATTCAAATATTGTATGATCAATGCGCACTTTAGCTCTACAGTATTAATTTTGTAAAAAATCGATTATGATTTTAGATATCACAATCGTTTCATTTCTACTACATATGTATCTTGCGACATTTGCTTGAAAGAAAAAAATGTGTCTGTTTTTGCGACATTTACCAAAAAGTGGAAGAAAATGTTTCGTCTGCTTTTTGCGACATTTACCAGAAAATATAGAATATGTTGCGTCTGTTTAAGAATTTTGAAAAGAAAATAGTTTTGTTTTTCAGAGGGGTGTAATTGTTTTGTTTGTTTGTTTGTTGTTGTTTCTCTTCTTGTTTTCTTTCTGTTGAGACATTTGTTTACGAAAACTGCAGCTGTTACCAAAATGATAAAGAATATAATTATTGTGTCTGCCTGGTGCGAGGTTTACCAAAAGATGATTTAGCAAATGTTGCGTCTTTCTAGAAAATATAAATAAAATAATACGCCTGTTTTTACGTGATATTAACCAAAAAACGTACTGCACAGAAAATCTTTTTGATAGTTTCCCTCATAAAACGATCATTTTCGATTTTCCTCTTTCTATCATTCCACCACCATTTAGAAACATAATAAGTCGAGAAATAACCTTTGCTCTATTTTAAACTATTTCGACTGATTAAAAGCATTAATTTAATGCATAAATATATCAAAGACGCAATTCAATGTAAATTCACATATAAAGATTAATTTAAAATAAATGGCCGCCTTTTATGAAAAATAAACTTATTTTGACGATTTTTTCACCAAGCGGCCTGGTAGTCTATATTTTAAGAAAAACCGTCTGATTTAGTCGAAATGCTTAATGATAATCCGTAATCCATGCAGAAGAAAGTCGAAAAATCATGAAAACAGTACAGTATTAAAATATCGAGGCGTAAATTTTGTCTACATTGAATAACACAACGTCGGCTAATGCAATGGCTTGTGAAAATCAGTGGTTTGAACTGTATTTACTTATGAAATCAAAAAAGTATCAGATTTTATAGATAAATTTAATGAAGTGCACTAAGCGAATATATTTCCCAATAAAATGCATAGAAATTTGAATTAAAATATTTTGATATTTAGTTAAGTACTTTAAAAGGTAAATTTCTCTCGTGTTGTCATAACTTTTAAACTTTAAATCTGTTTTCTCGCTGAGAGCCAACAAACTCTGTCGAAAGTAAAATATAGAAAAAATATAATATAACATTCAGTTCTGATATGAAAACGAAGTACTAGTAATAAACTATTTAGATCTACATTCAGAGAAAAAAAGATAACGTTCAATAAAATGACTTTTCGGTTGGAATGTTTATATATCATCATTGATGTATAAACTTGTTGTATCTGGTAAAAATCTGACAAAATCTATTTTATATAATTTATACAAAATTGTTGTCTGTTTTTTTTATTTATCATGTGCATTTTTGTATATCTAATTGAAGATAGCTGATTTCAAATTTTCAAAAATTGTCCGACAAAATTTGTCCGCTCTGCGAATTCATTCATTAAATGAAGGTACACGTATCCAGTATATGTTACACTAGAAAACACCAGCTAATGCTTGAAATAATTCGCATAGGATAGATAGACAAACAAACAAACAAACAAACAAACAAACAAACACACAAACACACAAACAAACAAACAAACAGACATACAGACAGACAGACAGACAGACAGACAGACAGACAGACAGACAAAATATTTTATTCACGTTAACACTACAGTTTTTTGTCATACATTTTACATATGTACACACATATACACAAAAAAAATACATTTTTTCACCATAAATAAATAAATTTCGTTGAGGATGAATCAACAAAATTTACAATAGGGACATTTGGTAGTGAAAAATTTAACAATATTATTTTGCATGGAAAAGCATCGTAGTATTTTATAAAGTGTGGTTTTAGAATAAGGGTGAGAATACACGAACATGTATCAAAATGTATTTCTCCGTTTAGCAGAGGAAAATGGAAAGAAAATTCCTAACCAGCTAGTCTGCTAGTATTATAGATTCCAGTTACTAAGTACATGTTAAGTATATATAATGGTGTGAACATCAACACGATAAACCCACGTACTGCTGATATCTCGGCTGGGCGGACACCTCAACATGTAACATTTATATCACCATAAATGCTATAACAAGTACCTTTTCCGCCTTATAAGTGTGTTTATCCAAATAAATACTATATAAAATCCTCAAGCGTTATTCATTAAAATGGCTAAATACGAGTATTGTAACTTCTTGTTGATGAAAATGAGAATAAAATAATGTATTTTGTGTACATGTATTCATTTTAATTGATAATATCCTCTAAGCATCTTTAACAGACATATCAATCATTAAATCTGGACAAAGCCATTCATTAATTTTAGGGGACAATCTCAAAATTTATAGTATCCGCGCAGTCTGATCAGGATCCATGCTGTTCGCTATCAGTTTCTCTACTTGTAAAAGAGTTGGTAAGCGAACAGCATGGATCCTGATCAGACTGCGCGGATGCGCAGGCTGGTCTGGATCCATGCTGGTCGCAAACCCATTATGTTGGTTTTGTCGTGACGCGGCTCATCTATATAGCTTAGATTGAGTTTCTGGAAACTGCAGTAGCAAGATACCAAAACTAAAGTGTTTGAGAAATAAAAATGAGGCATAATAGGCCTTTAACATGTGTCGTATGCATATAAAACTTGAATATTAATGTAAAAACAACAAGAAAAAAGGTGAAAATAAAGATATTAGACTCAACCCTTGTGGACACACTATGTCTGTGTCACATTATCTATTCGTACTGTTTTGCATCATTTACAAAAAACTGTGGATAAAACAAGCAACAAAAATATTACGTCGATTAAACTATTGCATCAAAAAGAAGAATACGTACAGTTAAGTAATTAATGTTTTTGTCACAAAACTTAGGTTGTTTTACATATCATTATGTCAACTCATATAAAAACTTGGCCCGATATATGTTTGCAGCTCACCTTAAGGCGAGCGTTCTTCTTTGACAGTGTGAGGTGAATTGTTAATAAAGCACGAAAAAAAAACGTGCATTTTGACATAGATTTTATACGATGGATAAGTTGCGCTAAAACTTAAAATGCAATGCGCAATATGCTTAAGGTACAACGGTTATGCACCGTCATGAAAGTGGTTGCAATGTTCCAAATTTAAGATTTAGGTTTTTCTTTGATGTAATCTTGAAATTTCATCAGCCTGATATCCCACGTATCAAAAGATGCTTTGAATTAAAACGAGATCAGTAAGTAATAAATTTCAAACATATACTTATCAACAAAACAAACTGAAAAAGTATACAACTCACTAGTCTACAATCCGTTGATTTTGCTTACGAGTTATTTGGAACAGTTCGTTCACTTACAAAAATCTGAAAAAGAACACATTAAAATGAATTTGTATACCTTTTCTTTGTATTCAATTTGTATACGATTGAAAAAAATCAGGTGTTTAATGTTATAAATATGGTCGACCGTCCGTCTGTCCGTCAGTCTGTATGCTATTTCGTGTCCGCTCTGTATCTTGAACCGATGCAAGGAAATACTATTTGGCAGAAATGTTAATGATAATGAGAAGATGTATAGAACGTAGAACTGGACCTTCTCTTATTATAATGGACCGCACCCCTTGATAAAGACTTATAAAGCAAAGCATCTGTAAGTGTACATGTGGAAAACTTCAAAGCCCATAGCTTAGATATTTGGCTTTTTATAAATCTTCTCCGCTGAGATATCATTGCAAAGAGAATAGGTATTTTGGCATGTAGCATCAACTTGTGGTCTTCTACAAAAGTTATATAAAGTATGCCCTTATGGTCATTATTGCCCGAGAGTCAAAATTTACCTAGCACCGGAGTTCACTTATTTCATATATTATGCTTTCTTGTGTGAAATTAAAATGGTCAGAGCTTAGGTATTTTGCATATAGCATTGCCTAGAAGAGTTTTACAAAATTATATAAATCATGCCACTGGACTAAAAAAACGGCCCAACCGTTTTTTGTGGGTGGGTTCATATATTTTGTGTAGCCGTATGTAGTAAACTTATCTTTAAAGTATTTTTTTCTAAACAATAATGCTTAGAGCATAGATATTTTGTTTGTGGTATGGTATTCTGCAAAAGTTACATAGATTATGACCCTGAGGCCAAATTTAAACCCATTATGTCACATTATATATATAGGCTCATATATAGGAAAACACATTTTATCTTTCTTGTTGTTAGAGCCTAGCGGACTTCTACTGGAATTACATGATTCATGCACCGTAGGTAAAAATGACCCCGCCCTTAGGGTCACCTATTATCACCGGGATCATTTATATAGACCAGATTCATGAATCGGTCTTTCACAAATTGAAATTTTATTTTGATTACTCTAATAAATTTGCATTTGGACATTTATCGACCCACTTTTGCGGTGCCTTTGTTATTTTTTTTTCTTCAAGAATAGTTACCCATAATGTTCCTGATGATATGATATAATTATGCATGGTAAAATGTTATAGAAAATTTCCATACAAAG